CAAGTCGGGCTAGCCCGACCCAAATTTAATGGGCTTGGGCCAAGCCGGGCCGGACTTTAAAGAGGAGAGAGAAAATACCGGGCCGGGCCGGGTTTTTTTGGAAAATTCAAAGCCCAAGCCCAACCCATGGGCCGGGCTTGAGAAAGCCCATTGAGCCGGGCTGGGCCTAAACGGGCCTACTTCATGAAAAAAATCATAAACTCAATCATAAGGGCATTTTAGTCCAAATTTGATATTAAACTCACTTAATTCTAATATTTTCACATCAAACCAAATTCATAAAACACCCAATAAAGTCACACAACTTAATAAGATTTTCCACAAAAATAATAAAACCAAGTATTATTTTTGAGGTTATTACATAATTAGACCGTAACACGTTTTAAAAAATAATAAGTATCAATAAAATATTTTTTTTGAAGGATGGTATGAATAAATATCCAAATATTTGGTGATGTGTTCAAGAAAAATATGATTATATTTGGTGGTACGATTATGTTTCGTGATATGATTATATTTGGTGATGTGATATGTTGTTTATCTTATATATATATATATATATATCTATACAGAGAGCTTCCATTGAGGGATCCCTCAAATAAGCTTATTTGAGGGACACCCCTTGTAGGGCCCACTCCGGATTGTATTTCACTAATCCAAACCGTCTATTTTGTAGATACACATTCAAAGATCATCTCTACAAAAAATCATTTGAATCTGATATCATTTGACCATTCAATTGAGTTATTGAAAATTTTAGTACTTTCTTGAAGCACCGTGTTCATTGATTTTATAGGACCCAATTAGATGTCGAAACGGTTTCCGATTTGTCTAATTTTTTGTAAGGATGATCTATGAATGAAGACCTAAAAATAGATGGTTTGGATCATTGGAAAAAAAATTGTAGGGTACCCTAAAGGGCGTCCCTCAAATAAAATTGTTTGAGGGATCTCTCAATAGAAGGGGACTGTATATCTATATACATAATTGTTGAATTAATAATTGATACAAATTAATGTGCTAATCATCCAATTATAAATTAGGAATGAGTAAAGAAAAGTAAATGAAATGAAACAAATTATATGTGATTTAAGTAATATAATCCTAAACCTAAACTCTCATTTATACATAATTATATATATATGCGGACCTAATGGGCTGGGCTTTTGTGGGCGGGCCGGGCCGGGCTTTCTTGGGATTAATTGGGTCGAGTCGGGCTTTAGACACCCAAGCCCAAACCTAGCCCAGCCCAAGGCTGGCCGGGCCATCTCAAAGCCCATAATAGGCCGGGCCGGACTTTTTTTCGATAAGCCGGCCTGGCCCCCATCGGCCCATTAGCCCGGGGGCCAAATGATGAGGCCTATCTACAACTTTTTCTTTAACTCTTCGCAAGATTGATTTCATGGATATCCAAGAAAATAAATTAGTAAAGAAAAGAGTCAGGTCTTCTCACTTCTATAAGTAAAGATTTTATAACATTACCCCAACAAAAACACTAAAAAGCAATGTTAAAAAGGAAAAATAAAAGGCCAAACCGCGCAAATAAAGGAAAAATATAAACAAACCAACTACCCGGAGCAACTACTTTTAACATGATCGAACGACTCAAATGACATTGGACGATTGGACGGATAGAGAGCCATGCTTGTATGGATTTATTCTTTTAATTCTAACTCAAGAATACATTTGTTTATTTAGGCACAATTTTTTTTATGAGTAATGCTATTTGAACACACTTAATTGACCACATCAGCTGACCACCTTATGTGGCAGCTGATGTGGTCATGCCACATCAATTAATGAAATTAACTTACATGGAATTTATTTATTTATATTTTCTTTTTCCAATGCTCTAAAAAAATAAAATACAAAACCTTTTGGTCTTCGAGTACAAACTTTGTCCACTGCCGCTCAACCATTGAGTCCATCAGTCTATCATCGGATCATCGCTCACCGCCATAGGGACAACGTTGTCGTCAAATCATCACCATCACCAATGTGATGTGAATTCTCTTATATATGAGATAATCTTTCTCCACTGCCGTTTAAATATGAAGTTCTGTGTCCAAATGAGATATGGGTTTCTCAAAGTGAAATAGTTGTAGACTTCTTAGAGAAATGGGAATTGATTAGAGTTGTTCTTTGATTGGGTCATAGCTTTTCTTCTCTAGGTTTATGTAAAATTTTAGAAATTTGGATGGCATAAGCTATAGAAAGGTCAAATGTCTTTCTTGGGTTATTGGGGATTGAGTACCAAATTGCTTCTTTTACGTCAATCCACAAGTAAATCAAAGCCATTGATCTCAAAGATTTCTCAACCTTTGAAGTAATCTGGTGCACAAATATTGGATTGCTTCTACCCATTTTGATGTTCCCTCAGTTTAATACAGTAAGTTAAAATCTCAATGTTCTTTCCATAAGGATTCGTCATAGATCTGGATTTTCCTCCACCTTTTCGATCTCGACTTCATCATTTAATTCTAACTTTGCAACTTTGATTGTTCTATCAAAATTAGCTTTCTACACAGAACCACCACATTGTTGGGGACAACCTAGTAAGCGTCTGGCGACGACGGCTTCTTGTGGCAGTGGACATGAACGAGCGGAGCAATATTGGGAAAAACTTCTTTTGGCAAACCAAAGAATCAAGTTAAAAATAATAAAAATAATAACTCCATGTCAGCTAATTTCATTAATTTATGTAAGCTGCGACATAAGGTGGTCAATTAATGTGGTCAATTAAGTGTGTTCAAATAGCGTTGCTCATTTTTTATTAAGAGGTTTTCTATTTAAACCTCGCACTTCTCTTTGTTCACCCCTATACTTAAATTATTAAGCTATCAGTTTTATTATTGTGTAAAAAGACAAAAAAAGTCATTCAACTTAATATATAACCCTAGTACATCTATCTATACACACACCCCACCACTCTTCAAGGATCATACAATCTCAAAATTCAAGGATCATCAGTTAACCCTTGTGAGGGATTGGATTACTTTAAGAATTTCCAATTTCATATCAGCTTGATGAGCTTAAAGACTTCCTAAGGTTCCGAAGGATGCTCCACATGAATGTGGATATAATGAAGAGGATAATACCAGTGATAATTGCATATTTGAGACCAATGTTCACCAGTAAATTAACTAGAAGCCCAGCCAATACGACACCAAAGAAATTTACAGACACTGCTGCCCAGAATGGCATACTAAGAATGGAAGCTATGATGGCTCCTGTCCATGCTCCTCTTCCAGGGAAAGGCATAGCCACACAAACAACATCAGACCAAGCCATTGGAACTCCTCTATAAGCCAACTTTCTCTTTGGCTCACAAACAGTATGTCAAGGAACCGAGTTGTGGCCTTGTTCTTTCCAGCAAGGAAATATGCAAATCTCTTCAAGTAAAGTATGATGAAGGGCACAGGAATCATGTTCCTACAGATACATAGTCCTATTGCTAATGTTATGGTCATTGGTTTTCACTATCATCGTAAAGCGAAACCAAACAAACTACAATTTTCCATATGATCTAATCACATGATAAAAACAGCCTTGTGAAAATAACAAAATCTCATGTATACTACAAATATTGTTTAATGATTTAAGTATTGGGGTGAACAAAGAAAAGTGTGGGGTTTAAATAGAAAAACTCTTTTATTTCTTCTTTTTTTAGCTTGGGATGTATTTAAGGGTAATTTGGGAAGATAGTGGGGTTTTCTTAGAAATTGTGAAATTTAAAATTAGAAGTTGGGGTGAACTTAGAACATGGGGTGAACAAAGAGAAGTGTGGGGTTTAAATAAAAAATCTCTTTATTAATGTTTATACTTTCAAGCTTTATTTAGGCACATTTTTGTAGAAACTAAATTATATTTTGTGCATATGGTAAAAGGTAAATTGAAATAGAAAGGCAGCAACCTTCGCCAACTGGAATCCAATGCAGACATAAACTCGAACCCAAAGTGGATGAGGTATGCTATGCGTAGTTCATATTTATTTTACTATGATTTTAATTTTTGGGAGATTCACTATAAAATCTAATATAGGAGCCCAAATTATAAAAAAAAAACCCTATATGAAATGGACTTTAGATACACACCCAAAGCCCATTTACAATATAACAAAAAGACTTGTAACTTCTTTTAAATTACAAAACTGCCATTGATTTCTTAAAACAAAACCAACCCAAAAACCTCATTAAAAAGCCCAAAACACTTAATGGGGCATGAAAGTAATTTAATAATTAAAATTAAATTCAATAGGGTCAGCTGTCATTTTTTTGGTATGTTGATAGAAATTAAATGGTGTAGGGTTTATTTATAGTTTTAGTGCCAAGAACGGGTATTTGACTAAATATCTCTTAATTTTTGGCGTAATTAATATGTCCAATTATTGAATGATGGAACCTTCCCTTTGCAGCTAACCGATGCTCCTCGAATTGTTGAATAATGGGGTTCCCATATCGCTTGACAAGATTTTCAAAGTGAAGCCTAGTGGCTTCATAGTTTTGGTCCTTCTTTGACACTGGCAGGAGAAAAAAGTTAGTTACAGGAATTTACAGAATAACCTCAAGAGATACTGCATATGCAAGAACATACATATTATATCTGGTTTGATATTTAAACGTGATGTTTCCTGGGACCAAAATAGAGGGATTGAGCCACGGTTCTGAACGACAGAACCGTATACTTTTCTTCTATGAACGACCTACCAAAACCCTAATAATTAATATATACAAGCACAAAAAGGGTTCTTTATTTTCATCGCGTGCGTAATTATTGTTAATTGTAATTAATGGGGAAATTTTTGTTAATTGTTTTGAGCTCTATTTTGCGTTTCTTAATGAAACTTGTTTCTGACGAAATTTTGTGTGTGTAAGGTCATCGTATGGAGGATTTTATAAAGAAGTATGTAAAATTCGAAGCCTACTTGTCAAATACTTAAGTGAAAAATAAACAAAATTTATGAAACATCCTATGATAATCAAACGTTGTAGAAAATGTACTCAACCCGTACAATAGGAACAATAGTGACGTTGGTTTTTAGGCAAGCTTAAACTCTGGCCACATCTATAGCAAAAAGTAGCTCTACACCTGCAAATAAACAGAAATTAATCCCATCATATAGGTAGGGCAGTAATGGATCGATTCATATATATATATATATATATTTTTTTTTTTGGAACAAAACAAGTTGAGTTTGGTCCAGTGAGGAGGCTTCGCTAGTCTCTACTCTTTTTTATAGAATATGTTCTTTAAATTGTTAATTATTAAATGAACGATTCTCGATTATGACATGTATATGGTGGAAGACGGGATTCACAAATATATTTATGATCATAGAAACTGACCTGCATTTCATGACATTGCAACCGGTCTTCTTTTCCACATAAAACTTACAGTTGGGACATCTCTTCCAACCCTCCATGTTTGCGAGGTTCCTTAACTGGATGTCTTGCCTTCCCCTCTCATCGTCATTCAACTCCTGAAACTCCCAGCACTCCATCTCCGCGTGCCAAGCAACCTTACACTGCGCGCAGAAGAGCCTTCGACAATGCGGGCACTGAGACTGCCGCACAAGCTCACTCCCATTATCATCAATAATCAACATCTCAGAGCAATCACTAAAGGGACAGTAAAACTTTTGAGAGCTGGGGATCGCAGCCTCACAAAGCGCACTTTCCCACCTCTCATACACTTCTTGGGGAAGTATCCAGTCACAATCCTCGGGCTCTATCCATCCTGATGCGCAGTCAGGATCAGGGCACCGAATGGTTGTGACTTTCTCTTGAAGATTGGAGACCACGTAATTGACCATGCACTCCGTACAATAACCATGGCTGCAATTTTTGATGTCAAACCACTGGTGTGCAGCCTCGGGTTCAAAGCAGATATTACAATCAAAATTATTATTAACCGCTGGGACGTACTCAATATTCTCCCAATCGGAAGGCTTCCCAACCTCATGAGAAACCCTAGAAGAAGCCATGAAGTAATTGCCATGAGCAACAATGTCGTCAACTTCTTCAGAAGTGTTGGGGGGATCGATATTTGATCTTGGAAATTCAACTTCTTCTTCATCAAATTAATTTGGATCTCGTCTATTTTTGAAGGGCTCCCAAGAAAGCATAAATTCATTCAAGAGATCATCATCAGAAGTAACTTTTTTCTGGGGATTGATTGATCTGGGAAATTCATGAGTTTCTTCTTCATGATTATGATCAACGTAGACCCGACCTCCTCCGCTAGTTTCAAAGGGCATCAAATAAAGCATAAATCTGTCAAAAGCATAATCAGTGGAGAAATTATATTCATCACTATTAGTTCTTACACGGTATGCTGGAGGGAGGAAACTCGATTTCTTCATCTTCGTCTTCATGTTAATCTTCTTCTTCGTCTTCTTGGCCTCATCACTTGAGGGATTTCTTCGCATTTTGAATGGAAGAAGAGCCTTGATGTGCTGCAAGATTGCGCTGCATCACTTTTTGGAGGACCCCCGTTTTGGGGACAACCTTGTTGGGGATGACAAGGGTGTGAAGAACAAGTCATGATCATCTCCATCAGCATCCTCATTTTTAACCTCCCCAAAGTTAACATTCAAAAACGCCATATGAAACTAAGATTGAGACTGAGACTGCGACTGCGACACTTTTTTTTCTTCGCCTTTGAGCTCAGTTTCTTGATCTTCTTAATTTATTAATTCTTCTATATATATATATGTATATTACTCTCAATATTGTACATGCCACTCACTCGCATATAACTTCCTCTTCTTAAGCGCTTATATATATATATATATATATGTAAATATTAATGTGTTATTGTACGCTATCCCGAGTCCTAATTAGGGTAGATACAATAAGTTGCCTTAATGTGCCTTTCTCTCTTCTACTTTCCTGTTTTCGCTACCTCTCTCTTCTTCTCTTTTCTTGCATGATGTGCAAGCTACGACTTTTGCATAACTATGGATAGCAGGTTAAACATAAGTTTCCGTACGTTATGTTAAATTCCTGAAATTATAAGAAACAAATATCAATATAAAAAAATAAAAAAATTGGCTTCTTAAAATTAAGGAGGAGCTCCTTGTTGCAATCAATGTGATTTTGACACATATCAATTTTTTTAAAATAAATTCTTTTTTCTCTTTTGTTGAAACTTTATTAATGTTGCTGGAATTTGATAACTTCATTAATTTTAAAGAGTTATGGTGCGTTTGGATGAGGGAAATAAACTTGGGATTTTGACAAAACTCAGAATTTCTAAATTGACATGAATCAATGCCAGTGTTTGGATTAAAAAAACATATAAATTTAGAAATTTCGCGTGGAAAAAAACATGAAATTTGGAGATCATAAATTCCAAGTTTAAATTCTATCTAAAAGTCATCATTTCTAAAATTTCAAGAGAGATTGAGTTTTAAAAAACAATAACTTAACAAATAAAAGTTAAATTCCGTGTTTTAAATCAATTATCCAAACAAGAAACTTTACAAATTCTAGAATATTAATTTCCGTCATTTATGAAACCCTTTGTATTTTTAAATTTCCTCATCCAAACGCACTGTTAAGGTTATCATTCAAAAATAAAAAATAAATATCAACGGCTGATCTTTCTATATCGAAATATCAATTGAAAAAAAATCATAGGCAAATTCCTGCCGGGGCACTTTGAGTTGGCCACATTTGAGCCCTGAAAGTTGTTCTTTTGATTGCTTCAATTCGACCGGCAATCACTAGCTAGCAAGATTGGCTATGGATTGGCCATATTTATGTTTGGAAAATATTATCGTGTATTCTAATCAATTATAATAAGAAAAATCAAGATAATAACTTCAAGAATAACGTCAATTAAAACTTGATCACATCAGTGCATGCCTAGGGTGGGCACTGGCCCGTCTCAGATGTTATTGTACATAAAATTTTATGTTAGTGATCTTGTACAAATATTATAAAATTCTTCAAAAATTCTTAAATGCCCCTCTTCTCTTTGTTTCATGTGTAAATTTATTTTGAGTTGCATGGATTTTGTTACCATGAAAGAGT